TGTGTTACCAGCTACTGTCTAGAAACGTCGTCTGGTATTTTTTGTGGAACTCAATGTCTTTTTGATAAAACTATGTACTTGTATTGCCAACCTTCTTCATTAAATTGCTAATTTTTAAAATATACCATAAGGCTGAAGCAGTAATATATACTGTTGCAACAGCCACAGTCCTTTCTCCTTAGAATTATACTCCATCCAGGTTCTTTTTAGTCTTTTTATCTTTAATGATTTTTTTATCAATTAAGTTTCCTGACACTAAGACTGGTTGACCATTCCAGTTCCTGGAATCATTCTCAGAACCATTTCCCCCAAAACAGTTTTGTACAAAGCTGGTTACCTTCAGTTTTCCTCTATTGTATTACATTTTGCTGATTAATTACCTAATTTTTAATCAGAATTCAGTTAGCAATTCTTTAGCTCCTTCAGATTCCTTGGATGAATGCCATGTGTTCTGACTTTCACTGTCATTTAATTCCATGGGTTGTTGCAAACCCTGTACATACATCACTGCTTTTGGCAACGCTTGCTGCTTGTAAATAGCAAACACTAGGGCACGGATTTTCTTATTATCTGCTCTGCTGAAGTTCTAAGCAACCAAACTACTTGTTTCTGCTGAGCTCTTTGTCCTTTCAGTTTGTTCTCTTTGTATCCAGGTGGCTCCTCATGCATTTCCAACATATTTATCACTATACCTCTAAACATTCTTCAGATTTCCTCTAACTTATTTGAGATTCGTTCCACTTGTATTAGCAGATTATTGCATATTACCTGTATTATTAGTTACACTTGCATTAGTGATGTGGCTTTGTAATAATAATAATAGTCACCTATTATTTAAAATACACACCAAAAGTCACATTGCAAGTTACAGATGTGTTACAAACCTTAGGCTTATGAAGTGTTTAGTTATCGTGGTTTGTATCACATTTTGACATGAGATTGAATGATGTCACCCACCTCTGCTCATCTCATTAAAATTCTGTTGCAGGAGAAAGTCATCTTGTCTTTGTGCTCTTTACTGTCATACCTACCCTATGCAAGGCAGCATTTAGCTCAGAGAGCGTGGTCCCAGCCACTCTCCACTCTTCTTGCTTGAAAAAAAGCCTATGGGATTTATAGAATCCACTTCCCACTTCCACATCCCAATCTGTCACTGCTACACAGTACACAGAAATGAATTATTGTACCTCATTGATTTTTTTCATGAGCACCATATTTCACCAGTGATTAATTCTACCTATATTATCTTGAGACATTAAGACATACTCAGAGTTTCCTTTAAGCTCCTAATATTAGTATTTTCAAGGTTTATTATTTTATTATTCTTAGTATTTTGTAATAATAAACACCTCCTTAAAGATGTCTTTTCACCTTTGCTGCACCACAGCTGCAGTTGCTTACCTTATCTCCTGGGTATCTTTCGCAAAAAGGAAAGGTCTGAGCAGCATGTAAGAAAGAGGACATTTTCATCTGAAAATACCAAGACAAGAAAAGCAAAATGATGGAAAAATACTCTGTCTTGGGAGGAATGTTTTTTGCTGCATGCACTTTTGTTCTATCAGGAAACATATAATACTAAGTAAGAGTAAGAAATATTTTTGCTTTGTACAAGTTGTGATGAAACAAAGAACAGAATACGATATTTTTCAGGTATTTTAACTTTTCAAAGTTGAAAATTTGTAGAATGCACAAGGTGAAAAAAATTAAACATTCCAGGCTGTGGCAAAAGTCTCCAGAGTGGCCTGACAAACCCAATCTATCCAGATTAGCAACAAAAATTGAGGAATGACTTGATGACATTGTTCATGTATCTTTTCAAGGAGAAAATACCAGTTAATAAAGAGCTCTTCAGCCTAGCTGAGAAAGGCATAAAAAGAGCAAATGGCTAGAGGCTGATGCCAGACAAATTCAAATGGGATATAATAAAGAGTAATAGTCACAATAATTAACCACTTGAACAAAGAACCTCCCCCAAGGTATGAAATTTTTAGATGAAAACTGAATGGCTTTCTGAAAGACCTTATTTAAACAAACAGCTTAAGTCTAAAAGTTAGATTCTAAATTAGTTCTAAACTTTGCTAACTGCATAAAATTCCTTGCACAATCTTAGCAGGTGAGACTGGGTTATCAAATTGCACCTCATACTTGAAAGTTTTAACATGTGGAACAACAATCACAATCGTTCAGAACAGCTACTTGTTATAATTGTCTTTTTTGCATTTTCTTACAACATTAATTTTGTGAAGCCATTTTCGTACCCGCTGCTTTGTTACACAAAAGGTTAATTCCCCTACAGACAGTTCAGGTGATAATCAGGTGAAAGGTACATTTAAAAAACAACCCTGTTTCAAACAGCATTTAACAGAAAAAGAGAGAGGGGGGAAGAGCCACAAATGCCAGTGTGGGAAGTATTAAAAGCAGGCTCTGAAAACCCCTGCGATGACAGTTTGAAGAAAGCAGCTTTTATGTGCTACGGAGCCCACCTCTGCAATGTCTTTTAAATGCAACTGTTTACCCAGAAAATATAAGCAAGGGCCAGAATCTGGACTAGAAGAGGCACCTTTTGATTGCAGACACTGAACTGAATCCTTAACTAATAAATTGTCCCACACCTTTGTCTGAAACAAGAAAAGCAAAGGGCTGTGTTTTTTCACAAGAATGCACAAGCCCCCTCAAAAGCAATATGGTTTTCTACATCTAAGTCTCAGTATTTGTTGACTTAAAGAGTTTGTATGAATGACAATGCACATCACTGGCTTGTTACTTCTGTCATCTGTGCTACTGAGTGTACCTTGACTCAGATCAAAGTTGAAAGCTTCTTAAAAGATACACAAACCACAATGTGACAAATAGCATGCTTTGTTTGACACAGCAAACAAGAAATTACTTTCATCAACCCAGGAAAAGAATCCTGTGTTTTCAGTGCTAATTCTGAAGACTGCAGGGATGGAACCAGAGCTTTACTTCATCCTCAAGGAATGAGGACCTCTCCAAAGACAAACAGAGGAAGAAGCAATATCAGTGCATTAAATGCCGACAAGGGTATGAATTCAAGGCTTGCACTCTCCAGCAGGCATCTGTAGAATATTCACCCTTTACAGAATTAAATTGATTTCCCACAATGTGGAAAACGTCTCTATTAAGCAAATATTAATCTGACTGGAAATTACAACTTAGAACATATGAAGCACTTCACAGATACATCCAAAACTAAACATTTCTACATCCACAGCATTACACAACCTACTGCCATACACAGTTAATACACAGGCAAGAGAAATATTGCACACCAGAGGCTTTGGTTTTGTTCTTTTTACAGTAGCATTGCCTAAGTAATTTCTAACATGTTTTTAAGATATACTTGAAAGTTTTTTATTAATATAAAGTGCTTCAGATCTAGAAATCCTCACTAATATGTGCATTATTGGAGTAAAAAAAAATTCACTATGACTTATGCTCAGTAAAAATCAACAGCCATGCATGAAATCACATTTGGCTCAGGATCTAATTTGTTCCCGAAATGGACACATACAAATGTCCCCTTAAATTAGTCTTTTCCTCCCTGAGAAGAAATTAATATTTACTTAACAGAACAGATTTTGAATTCAGCTATAAAGTAGTGACAGCCTTTTCATTGACCTGAAAGGGCTTTAAATGGGACCTAATAACATCTTTGCTACCCTTACAGACTAAAACTATAGACCTTTCCTACTGAGTTGGAAGCACATGCCTGAAAGTTAACAGGAGTGGACAGAAAATGAAAAGAGTAAAATAACAGCACAACAATGAAAAATACACAGTATGTGTGTGTATGCAAAGGTATAAACAAATACACATATTTAATATACATATGAACAAATAGTTAATGAGGTAAAACATTTTCAAACTTCTGAGAAGAAAGAGCAGACGCTGTATTTTTATAATTAAGAATGTCTGACTCAATTCTCTTAAAAAAAAAACTTTAACTGTGCAATTACAAAGCTCTGTGACACAGTGTTCCTTGCTGAGTCAAAGGCATGGCTCACACATGCAGGTTTGCCAAAGCCTGCCTTCCTCAGCCAGCAGAAGTATTTCAAGCTGGAATTCCTCACTAATGCATTCAGAGTCTCCTCATTTATGACAGCACTGCACTTGATTCTTGGAATAATTGGTTTGTACACTTTCAGCAGTACAAACGTCCTTTCCAGTGGAAAAAAATAATCCATATCTTTACACATGCAAAGGCCTTTACCCATCTTATTCACTGTCCACACCCTAGAGCTTGGTTTGGAGACAATAACACAACCCAACATCACTGTAACAATGCTCCAGCACACCCCTACATGGATAAACTTACCAAAGGTTAAGCTTACAAAAGGTACAGCACTCAACATTCTTGCTGATTACAGCACAAGCTTTACTTAGCACATCAATGTACATTTTTATAACATATTCTGTGAAAACCACCTTCAAATGTTGATCATGTTGAAGTAACGTCCACAAAAGTACTACGTTCCTTTCAAACATATTAATATTTTCATTACACTCCTCTGACACGACAAAGTGCAAAAACATATTAGAAAATATCATGGAATGAAGACACAGTTTCAGTGAAACTCATTACAGTTGCTATACTAGAAAGTTTGTTCCAGACCCTTGCCCTAGCATTGCTTCTGTGTTATATTTATTCAACCCACAGAATTTATCAGCTCTTCTTGAAAAGTTACTCTTCTGCCATTGATGGCAGCACCTGCCTCTGCTAATTAGCAGCACTGTGCTTGGTTGCAGCCCTACAAGAAGAAAATGGATTGGCTCTTTGGTTAATGCATTTTGTTCTAGAAGAGCAGAAGCTGTTGAATCTGTTTTACCCCTTCAAAAAGGCTCTAAAACTCAGTACACCAGGCAGGACCTCAGACAAATGCTCCTAACTTGAGGAAACAATTCTGTAAAACAACCATTCTTGAGAGATTCCTGATTTCAGCACCATTTAATCATACAACTAAAATTTTTAAATTATGCACATGGATAAAAACAGGTATTATTAGTCACCTTCAAAACAGGCAGTGTGTTCATTATGGTAATGTCCTTGGAGTGTTTAAAGCAACCTATTGCATTTGAAGTGGACAGTCCTGGTAAAAGGTGGCAGTTAATAAGAAATGGCAATTACTGAGGCATGTTACTCTCCAGAAGACTACAGTATGAATTTTAATTTCTTCCTGCCCACGTATCAGCTAAGGCTAATACAGACATTTTCATTTAGAAGCAGTAGGAAGTACAGTAAAAGTGAAAACCAAAATAAGAGACGACACTAATCTTCTCTGAGTTTCAATTAAGGCCCAGCACCTCTGGATTAAAGGCTTATTTTAATGAAAAGCCTTAATTAAGCATACATGTGTATAGGATCACCTTAATGAGGTATGACAGAAACAGAAGAGACAGCAAACATTATGTTAAAAGAAGCTTATTAGCAACTTTGAGAAACTTAGTTAAGGATTCCTAAAGACAAAAGAAAGAAAGAAAAAAAAAAAAAAGTAATGCAACACTAAAGCAGTGAAACCAAAATAGGTATGAGAGAGGTGTTTTTCAGTATCTTTGTAGTCAGATGGATGCATACTAACAATTTTTCTGCTCATCGATGAGTCTATTTTGGTAAATATTAGAGTGTTTACACTTTCATTTAAATTTTAGATAGGAGAAAATAAAGTTTTGTACTTCATTTGCTAATTAAAATTACTAAAAATCTTTAAAAGTTTATATTGCAACATATCTATTCATGGTATTGCTGGGTCAGGATTGGTGTCAGGCTAACTTGCAAGTTCATTTTAAAAACCATTATTTTATCTTTTTCTCCCTATCTTTAGAAACAACAAAGTGATTGAAAATAGCCACTTCAGTTGCTTTTCACCTATTCCCTCACAGTACACAGAGGTATTCTCATTTGCAGCTTTGACTTTGAAGTAATTACTTGCAATTATAGCATCCAGTGCCTTAATCACTCCATTTATATGCTGCTTGCAGGATTATTCTCAGGACAGCCTCACTGTTTTTCCTTGGAAAATGTCAGTTCCACGAGAAAATTAAAATCTCAAGTCAGCAGCAGCTGAGAAGTACTCTGGCCACTATTTAAACCCAAAAGATTAAAGAAATGGCACACTTGGACTCGAGGTGTCTGTACCTGTGCTCCACTTGGGAGTTAAGGGGCCACCAAGTGAGAATAACCAGGAAAATGAACAGAAGAAGGCTGCACTCCTAATAGGGGCTAAAAGTACCTTTGCACAGCTCTGGATCTTCAAGAAACATGAGTGGTTATTAAAATGAGGGCAGTGCTTCTCAGGAAGCCACTCTGAAGCCTGGGAAGTCCCTGAAGGAGCTGGTGCTCAACACTAACAGCATCCGTGATTTACCAGCTTTTTGTCACAGCCAAAGGTGGGACAATGAGGTGTTCTTCAGTTTGATCCATATGGATACCACTGATCTGTTCTCTTTTTATGTCTATTTACAGGACTGCAGCAAACACAGGTCACACAGAACAGCAGCGATGTGACTACCCTGGAGATTTCAAGCCGCCACCACGTCACTACCAACGGGCCACGCACCTGAGGGGTGTCACCTCCAGCCCTGCCAGCCTCCTCTCGGCCACAGGTTCTCCTGCCTTAGCTATGGGGGTGGTGAGATGGTGGTGGAGCAGCTTCAGCCCCAGAGGAGGTTGCTGGTGTCATCCTTGATCTATGTATCACAAGCTTCCTGGTCTACAACAAACTCATCTGGCAGGACAGTTCATACGCTGCTGTCAGACGAGATGAGCCTGACAGGTGAGAGGCACCCGTGGTGGTTTATGGATCCAGAGTTAACTTCTGTGCCTGGAACAGGTGTGAAGCTGTCTTCCATGGCAGGCCTAGGAGAAACCCAGTGAAACCCTAGGTTTCTCTTCTGCTATTGATGAGGCTGTTCTGGCTGAGAAATGTTATTCAGGTTCTTGTACATGTCTGTTTCTAGAGCCACACACCTTATAAAATCAGCTAAAGTTTCTGATTTTTACAAGGTGGGATTTCAAATCTTTTAAAATAAGGCAGGAGGGTAGGGGGAAATGCAAGAATAGATAGATAAGCCCATTCTCTGTACAAAAATAATATATTCTTGTTTATCTTCAGTGTTCTGGAAGGCAAGGTTAGCCTTTGGGTTTGTTTTTAGTTATATTGAAGTAAAAGTGTGTTTGGGCATGCCAAACTTTTATAGTCCATAATGAGTCAATAATAATTATAGGCTCAGTAATTAAAACTTCTAAATTACTGCTATTTTATTTAATATAAATGATAAAGATTTGCTTTTTTTATAAGTTAAAACTAGGATGTGTCAGAAACATCAATCTTAAATTTCATATTATGGTAATTGTATGTTAGGCTTCCAGTACAGGAGTTGCATGTGCATAAAAGCCTTTGACAAGTCAAAAATATTGTCTAAGAGGAGAATTTCTTTTAATTTAGAATAGCATACATGTTTATAAGTAATTTATAACAATAGTTATTCAAGTTTGGGTTTTTTTATTTCTTATTAGTGCCGCACCTCCAAACCAGAGACAGCAGCAATTTCTGCAGTTGCTTTCCAGGATCACGTAGTGCACAGTCATCAACTCCAGGATCTTTCATTAGCAGATACTTTTAAGTCAAGAAGTACGAAGAACATTTACAAACGTGTGAACAAAGAAATGGTCAGAGCAGTAGTAGATACTGGACTAAGAGAAAAGAGCACTCACCACAAAAAAAAGGAAGGTGCAGGAAAGGAGTCCTTGTTCTTGATCCCAAGCCCTCCACTGCTAATATTAGGTAAAACAGTATATTCTGATTCGTGATTTTTTTTGTTTTATTTAAAATGAACTAAATTGAGGAAGCTAAGCTTTCTGTTCAATAAGATGATGTAATGCTAAGCAGTGTAAAAATTTAATTTTAAAATTTGTCAGGCAAGGGAATTACCGTCACTGGCTTGAGTGTGTCTTTTCATATCTGAAATGTATTTAAACATATTATTATTGAGACAATTAAGGTAAAAATGAAGAAACTAGTGCATCTTGAAGGAGAATTCTTCACTAAGAGATGGAAAAAAATTTAGTATGTTTTGTGTATTGGCTGACATAACTTTCTTTACCTTATATTCTTAACCAAACACCAGTGATTTTGATCTTTTATTTATTTGGGGAAATGTTTTAGTATTAAGATTTTTTAAACTCTATTTGAAATGGCTTGTTTTACTTCTTACTCAGTAAAAATACATTTACTAGTGCTGCATTAAATGTATTCTTTGTTAATATAAACCCACCTTTACTCAAAGTTAAAAAGGTTTGTTTTTACAATGATCCTGGGGCTAAACCTGGGAAGAATTAACACCTGTAGTTAAATAACTTTTTCAAATTTAGAAGCGAACATGCAACAAGATAAAAGTCACAGATGTGAGGGCTTGGAATGATGCCTGGTGAGAAAAATCACTTTTAAATAGTATTATAATAATACAGTTGTACATCAGCAACAGACAATATTGCTTAAAAAAATAAAGCCAGGGAACATCTTCACAAACCAGGAGTCCAAATCTGCTTCCTGCCTATCACTTTCAATCTCATATTTTCCTTGTCTAAAGGTTTCTACAGTCTTCTTGCCATGAACATCTTGTCTCCATCCATTTAGTTCTCTTGATTAGACATTTCTTAATGGACCTTTTGGCTCCACAATTGGCAGTTTTAAGCATAATAAACTTTTATTATCATTAATAATTGTTTTATTTATTCATTTTCATTAAAATGCCCTCAGGCTTCTCTGAAGATCATGTTGCCTTTGCTACAGTAGCTGTCACAGTATTCCCAGCTCTAAAGAGAGCCATGTAAATCAGTGAGGCTCCATACAAGCACAGGCGTCTGCCTTTTGGAATCAGCTGAAGGTTAAGAGGGTAACTTAACATAATACTCAACAAGTGAGTGTAACAAGTGGTGGAACAAAGGTGGTAAGACAAGGTAATTGTTACTATGTTCACATGGTTATAATTCTAAAGATGAGAGGGCTTTTTCCCTGGTTCATTTTTAAAGGAATTTGAAAGAAAAGAGGATAGTGGGGAGAAAGAACAGCAGAGAGGTACTGGGCTTAATGCAAATATAAATATTGAGGGATTAAGGAAGCTAAAGGTTGTGGTGAAAAAATGCAGCCTAAGTGTGAGCATATTCTCTGTAATTATAAGACAAAATATTCTCTCTTTAAATCACAGCATTGACTGAAATGTCCCATATGAATTCTTGTGCAAATGATTCAAAAAACATGCCGAAAGATTTTTTTGAAATTGCCATTGTTTCTGGGGCTTGCTTATTAATATTTTCACCTATAGTCTCACATTACTGTAAAATGTTTGTGTCAAGTTTTCTCTTCTTAATAAGAATTGTGTGGTTTAAACCTTACAGCTGTGACAGAACTTAGAAAATGCAATTTAATGCAACTTTTTCTTCTTGAGTTTGTCAGTAATCAAACAGAATCTCGCAGGACTCTGTCATTAAGGTTTTCTCAGTAGGGACTTAACTCCTAAAATAATAGTAGTTTAAAGGTTAATGTATGTAATCACTTTGTTAATGTTCATTTTAGGATAAGTAACTCACTTGGTTGTAAATGGGTGTGTCAGTAAATGGGTTGGGCTTGTAAACTTGATGCATAAGGATGAAAACTCTTGGATGCCTTGAGCTGTGATCAATATAGGCTTTCACTGCTTGTATTTATTCAAAGTGCTGCTTTGAGAATATCTTCGTAGAGACTTTTGCTTCAACCACATACCCCTTTTTGTGTGTCCTGTTGCCAGTTTTCCTTCATCAGCTGTTGCATAAAAGCTTTTCTTCTAAACACCTGTATAACCTGTCCCTCACAAATATCCCATCTGGTTTATGTTATTTAGAAGTCAGGTTTTGCCGCCAATCTCTTCGTATGTGGCAGCTTTAATCATCCATTTGTGAAAGTTTTAAATAAGCATTTTTTCTTACCCTGAGGGTATACAAAAGGCTTTCCACAAAGCCATCTCATTGTCTTCCTTAAAACAGCCTCTGACCACAGGGCTTGGAAGCAAATCAAGCGTAGGCATTTCTGGTGTCGTGATACAGTCTTTCATGCTGTGACTGGTTTGCTATCTTGTTCCCTCCCTGTGTATCCAGATTTTCTCACCCTCAAGACCATTGCCTCTGTATATTGGACTATCAGAATGGGATCTTGTTTCCTTATTCATTCACTGGTACTCTTAAGGATTAGTGTTAGATGAAGCTTTACATATGTTTTTACTGAAACATATAATGTATTTTATAAGTCGATTCTTCTATTGTAGCAGCAACACACTGATCAGGAGTTGAATAGCCAAGAAGGAAAGAAGGAAAACTTCCTTGTGACTCAGCTACCAATTTCAGCAATTCATGCATAAGCAAAACACGTTCTAAGCTAGTTTTTAGTCTAAACTTTGCAGGATCCTTCACATTTCTCTTAAAGCTCAGATAATTTTTCACTGTCAAGAGCACCAGATAAAAGCATTTTACAGCACCAAAATGATAGACAACACTATTTTATGTTAATACAGTGTATATTTTAAATTCTGAAATTACCATGCCATAAATACATGTGTATGTGCTTTGCTGCTTGACATTAAGTGGTTTGAATTCTAGACTAGAGCCTGCAGGCAGAGCCCTGAGCTCTTGCCCATGTGGAGGTGCAATTCTTGTGTCCAGACATCGAGGTGCCCAAGGCACCCCAACAGCCAACCCCTGAGACAGTTCTGTAGATGACTGCTGATGGCATCCATGGCATTCATTTGTTCAAATTTTCTTCTGATAATTTTTAAATAAGGGCATCATCAATTAATTTCACATGAAGAAAATCCACTGTCCACATCTGCCAGTGGGTTTTATTCAGTGATTGGTTGTTGTTATTGTCTACGGCTCAGAAACTAGGCCTTGTTGAGCCACTAACTGCTGAAGAATGGTTAAAAATAAAGCAGAGATTCATCCAGCATGGAGACTCCATGCAGCCCTGCACAACATGCAGGGAAGAATTTGCACTTCAACCTCAGGGATGTGTATAACTCTATAATTGTGTGGACTATACAACCATATTTTTAAAGTTTTTCCAGAGTTACTGCTAAAAATCATTAGCTGAAGGAAGAGGGGAATGAAAGCTGTTACTGTAAGATACTATTTAGAATTTAATAGTTGGACCCAGCTATGAATGGCCAACTCGGCAAGTATTTGGGGCATGATATGGTAGAGAAGGGTTGGTAGTGTTTGTTAACATCGTAAGTGATGACATTAGAAGGAGAAAGAAATCAGCCTTGTTATCAGTTCTTGCAAAGCAGGTATAGGCTATTTTCTGCTTCATTCAAACTGTTGGATATGATCCTAGCCTTCATTCATCTGAATGGTAAATATTTACTAGTATTTACTAAAATTTACTAATTTAATAATATTTACTAATATTTACTATTTACTAATATTTACTAATTTAATTTACTCAGTACAATTTCAGGTGTATTTTGTTTTCTTACAAGTTGTTTTTTTAATTGCAGTTTAGGTGAACAGTTATTTATATTTGGGAAATGGAAGTAGACAGACTGAATACCAGTCACTTCCTTAGGTTACCTGAAGAAATCCTTGCATTTTTACCTTGATGGCCTTATTCAGTGTGTGTGTGTGTGTAGCATAAGCATAAACACATCATGATTTATTAGATTCTGTCATCTCTCAGCTTGAAAATATTAAGCAAAAGGGACAAGTGACTGATTGAAGAGGAGTGCTGCTTCAGAGGGGTGATGATGGTAATTAGAGGAATTATCTCCGTTGCTTGCAAGTTTCTTTCCACAGTGCATTTTAGGGTGTATTTTTCCTGCTTGTTCTCCTTTTTGATTTTTCTTCAAGACTTTTTACAGCCAGGTTTGTGATGTGACTCGAGGTCTTCTAACAACCTTAGGTACAGAAGTTCTGCTTCCTTTCACATCAACATTAACTGAAGGTGTACAATTGTCCCCAGACAGGTGGGATGGATCTGGCAAAGACCACTCTGCCAATTGCTGGCTACACTGAAAGTCTAAAGCTTGACATAAGAGAGCAAAAGACAGGACTCATTAAAAAGGTTATTTTGGATTTGGCACAAAAAGGGAAATGCCTCTGGAATTCTTTTTGTCCTCAATGTTTCGTTCAGCTTTCCTCCCTCAAGGGAAAAAAGCCACTGTATCTGAAAGCTTTCCCCTCAGCTGGCTGCTGGCCATTAATCCTTTTGTGTTTGCCAGCTCAATAGTGCACACTACTTGTTCTGGTTTTCACTCCTTTCCCAGTTTTCCTTCCTCTAAGAGCCAACTGCCCTTTTTGTCCAACTCTGTATCTTTTGTCAGGGTGGAGATCATCAGCATTTGGTGGGAATTTAGGTCAGATAAAGGTGAAGTTTTCTTGTAGCCTGTGAACATGCTTTCTCTTTTGTTATTTTGTATGTGTGAAATGTGAAATGCTGCATTTGATGTGTATCACTTCTTGAAACTGAAGGTCTCTGTGGGGAAAAAAATTAATCAGCTTTCATTTGAAGTACTTGCCTTATAATCTTTTCCCCCAGTCAGTAGCAGTTGGCATTTCTTGCTTTCCGCCACTGCATGTGTTGTCAACACAAAATTCATGTATTGGTTTAAGATGGAATAGATTCAGCAATTTCTATAGAAGACTGGTTTTATTTTCACCAGAAAGACTGTAGTAGTAACAGAAAGAAACTGATGACCTTTCAAACAGACAGAATTTTCTTGTCAGCAATTCTACTTTTCAGCTTTTAGAGTGGTTTAAAGTCAGGTTTATTTTTTGGTTTCTTTTTTTCCTTTAAAAAACAGGTGCTGCTTTCATGTTCCCGTGTATTCCACAGAATGAGTACATTTATATATAACTATTCAAGCACGTGAGTATTTTAATTAAACTACTTAAGTGAATATCTTAATGAATTAAATGTAATTATCCTTAAAAGTAATTTCAATTCCAGAGTTTTATAGTAAGAAATATAATTTAAGGTTATTTTATGATGAAGCACTTAATTCCATTTTATTATCTTTTTTAGAACCATATGGGAAATATGGTTTGTAACTGAGCTATACATTTGTATGCTAAGTGAAGGTATTTTACTTCAAGAAATTCATGACAATAATATGAAGATTTACAAAATTCTCTTAACATTTTAATTATAAAAACACTCTTGTAGAGTGTTCATGGATTGATGTTTAAACTTTTTTTACATTCTGTAATCTATCCTGTTTCATCTGTTCCAGTGATATCAAATCTATTGTAAGTAATTGTGATTTTTTTTCAGGCATGCCTGAAATCCTTTGAAAAATCTGCAGGTAAAATGTCTTGTCCTGTGTGTAGAAAAGAGCAGTATCAGACCAGAGTGGTACATGATGGGGCAGGCTTGTTTAAAATAAAAAGTGCTGTTAGGTGAGCCTTATTTCTGCTACAAGTGTTGTCTCTGGACAGTATTTTTTTCTAAATAATGTTCCAAATATGTTAAAACTTTCAGAAGAAATTAGACAGAATTAATGTCCTACAGAACTTAACCTTTTAGAGAAAAAAAAAAAAAAAACAAACACCATAAAATTGTCATTTCATATGAATAGTAAAATTACATATATTTGAGTTTCCTCTTCTTGACCGAAATTGTGTCTTAAAGAATTCAGGCTTCCTGGAGGGGATATATTGTCAGAACATAGTATAAAAACTGGAGAAAAACAGTGAATCCTAAATATAGCAAATTAAGAAAGCAATGCCTTGAGAAAAAGGTATGTTGCTTTTGTTTCATTGGTGTGTATCTTTGGTCTGCTTCAGCTCCCTTAAACCAGAACTCCTGAATCAGCTCTTGACCATTTCACTTATTCCTTCTCATTCATATCAAACAGGCAGCACAGGAGGCACCCGACTGTTTTGTTAGTCTGTTCATTCCATCCTCTTTACAAAATAGAAGGAAAATAATTGAAATATTAAATTTTAAGGCCTGCCTAGACCAGCAACAGTGGGGCTTTTAGTAAGGCTCTCTACTTCCCTTCTCTTTTTGATAAGTCACAGGAATCTGTTTTCCTACAGCATTGTATGAAAGGGGTACAGGAGAAACAAGTCCATAAACAGTCATAACATCCTGTCACTGTTTCCTCACTGGCCACTGAACTGGATACTTCCACTCCATAGCTTTGCCCTTCTCTGACTTCTGTTCAGGTGCAAGTCAGACTAATCAGTTAGGGTCCTGACCCCATACAAATGAGGCTAAATTAGGTGCAAGCGTTTTGCAATGACCCTGCTTGCCTTTAAGCACACAGCTGCTGCAGAGTCCCTGTGCCATGGAGCTCTCAAGTCCTCCTTTGCAAACTTCCAGTGCTCAAATCCTCACTTCTGAACTTCAAGTCCTCAGTTTAGCAATGGCCAGCTCAGCTTTCCAGTGACAAAAACTGCTGTCCCACATCCTCAGCCATTACAAACCCTCTCTTAGGGAGCAGGAGAAGCCACCTCCCAGGCCAGGTTCCCTGCCTGACAGCCTGGCTAACAGGGGAGCCACACAAGGCAGCCATTTAACTGTAACTTGTGCATGCAACTAGGAAAGTTACCCAAGCTGCAAGATAAATCAGTGGTAAGTTTAAACCAATACTTAAATCAGTTATCTGCTTTTTTAAAAAATCACTGCTTTAGTTAAACAGAAGAGTGCTTGCAGAAAAGGCTTGTTAATGTTTGTCATTAGTTCTCACCCTCACTTGGTTGTGTCCTGTTAGAGAGCTTTGGAGGCAAAGCCCCACTCTTGCTGTATTATTCATCTATGTATCATAGTGTTGGTACCCTGAAGATGGTCTTGAAGACTGTTGCTACAAAGTTGATACCACTCTTCTGCTTGTGTGGTGACATTGGACGGAGAAAGGAAATACTGCTGCCAGCCTTAACACTGGGACAGCTTGCTGGTTGCTCTGATAGCTTTGTAATCAATGCTAAGCCCTTTGCTGAAACAGAGAAAATGAGTATGGAAGTAACTGAAGAAAGCTAATGTTGCACTTGAAAGTGCTCCAACACTTAAGTTTGGAGGAAGGGAATCCTTGGGTGGATTGTGACGGTCCTCAAGTAGCACGATGAGAACAGGCAACAGAAATACCCAGATTTTTGTGCATGGAAGACTTGGGAAACAGTCGTATGCCTCTCAGTTCTCAGTTGTCTGTGGGCTCCAGATCTCAGGCTTAGCTATAAACAGGGTCTCAGTAAAGGGAAGCTGAACAAGGCTTCTAAGTATGCTGAAAGTTGCAGCTGAGTTTCATTTATTAAAATGTCTCTCAGCCAACTTCAGATGGCTGCAGCCACAAGCTGCCTACCGTGGGCTACCTTCTAGGTGGCCTGTCTTAGATACGTGCTTTAGGGAGAAACCTCCTGACAGCATGCCCATGTTTCACCACATGATTACAAGCCATGGGAAGGCTTCATGTCACATGGTTTCCATATTTAGACCCCAGCATCAGGAAATCGTTCCCATATGTAACACTTCAGGATTTTGTAGGGAGTAAAATGGACACTACTTCTTTCACCTGCTCTTAAGAATAAATTTCTAAAGCCTTCTCACACGGATTAGACAGGTTTAAATTAATTCAGTACCAATTATGATTAAAGGATAATTGCTAATTTTTCTTAGTGACTTTCAGGTGGGAATTGTAGATGAGTTTTCCTGCTGTTTGCTCTAATACTTTTAAATGTCAGTTAATGAAAACACTAAATAAATTTTTCACAGGGAGCCATCCATTTCCAGATGCTAAAAGGCTTTTCTAAAATAAACGTTGCCTCTCAAACTTGTGCTGTGCTTTTAAAATGTCACTCCCTAAACATTAGCATAATCAAATAGCATCACTGTTGGAATAAAAAAAAATAAAATGTTTAATAACCCTGCCTCCTCTGGAAGGATCACAAAGGTTAAACAGCAGGTTTCATACTCTTAAATAAATATCACAAAATAAAAAAACAAAGTCTGAAATATTAGTACTACAAAGGACACACATTACTTGTTTCAGAGTGCTACAGTAGCCCTTATTACAGCTATGATTAAAATTTTTAATAATCCAGATCAAAGGAGATAAGAAAGGTCACTGAAACTAAAGTAGGCTACTCTTAGCACTACTATACACAGAAAGCAGGGTGTTGCTTCAGCATGTTAAGTAGTGAATTTCTTTGATCCTACCTATAAATGTCACTTCTGTATGTCATTTAATTGTGGTATAGTCTTTTATTGGTGCAATTAAATCTTTTAAAATGCATTACATTATCTCCAGCTTTGCTAGAAATCTTGCCATTGTTTAGGAAGCAAGGTAAGACATTGTGAAATAATGTAGTTGACTTTAGTTTCTTCCTGCCTCCTCCACAAGATTTCTCCCAACAATTTTATTTAAATCTCACCAAACAGTATAATGGTCCTGGAATTTGTTTAGTCGTTTGACTTCCTTTATCACATGGAGATGGTAAACATTCTGTTGCTAACTTGAAGTGGCTCCAAGCAGCAAAACCAGGAGGATATTAAACCAGTAAAAGCTTATCAACTGATTCATTGATATGCTGTAAATTCCAGCCTTTTCATTTTACTTTTGAGGGTTGCCATAAGTCAACACATTAGGAAGCAATTTGCTGACATTGGATCACTTAAAAAGGCTTCCCTGTGGACAAAGTTCACCTTGGTGCTTTGTTTCATCCTTTTATTTTATCATAGTCTTGTGCTGCTCTACAGTTGACTGATGTGGTTTTCCATACTGACAGAGTATTTCAAATACTCAGGTTATGCCATTCTGCTTAAGTTATAAGGCACAGACATAAAACACAGAGAAATTAATTAAATTAATCAGTTTCAGTTGTTCTGCAGAAAAAATGGGTTATTCATCATTATGCATTAAAACACAGCAGGATTTAATATTTAAATCCTAGAACACATTAACAAATTATCCAAAATGCTTATTTCCTTGCTATTCACATTGATAATAGGCACTGATTTGCCAGTTAGCATGAATTTTAGGTTAAATTTCAGTTACACTTTCTTTTTCTTCCTAACCTTAAGACTTTATTTACTGATTGATGGATATGGGTTGGGTCAGGTCATACTGCACAAAATACAGTAGATAGTCTCTTAGCAGCAGGGGAACTTAATAGATCACTGTCTCAAGCAGAAGTGTTTTCCTCTATTTTTACAACTTCTGCTCAATGAGCCTCATGAGGACTTGCAAGATCACCTAGTGAAATGGGGAAGAAAAAGGCAAGTGCAAGCTCAGGGAAGAAATGGAGGGCTTCTCCGTGCTGAGGGGAAAAGCAAAAAGCAGCCCTGACAGCAAGGGGGGCACTGCTTGCTGTCTGTGCAGCCCCAGCTCCTCTCTGCCCCCTGCTTCCAGTAATCCCTGATGGTTGATTTTCCTCAGCATCTTGTATAGTCATAGTGTAGTTCACAGAAACAGGCCAAGTCCTGGGACTGGCCACATTCTGGCTGTGCTGCTCTCACATTCACAGAAATAGATACTGGATAAGGGCAGAGTTAAAATTGTGGTTGGTTATTTTTTCCTCATATGTTGGGTCCTGTGAGTCTATTCAAAAGTATGGTAATGGCTGCTGTGGCCTTCTGTTACATCCACCTAGCTTTCTCATAAAAATAGTTCATATTTCTTCAAGTTGTGTACCAATATAAACAAGGACCAAATAAAAATAAGGACCAAAAGCCTTTTTAAAGGGATCGACCTTTACTTGGTGTTGAACCGAAACCATGAATTAGGTAAGGTGTAGGTGTAATCTCACCCTATTCTTCCTGAAGACAAATTTAAAACTAGTATCTCTTAAAGCAGTTGAAATTGCAATATGAAGTAGATTCAGTTCTAAAACCCAGGTATCAACAGTTGAAATAAAACTACTAGGACTGTCATAGCTTAATTAACTACATAACATTAAAATATTAGCAACATAACCTGATTGAAGTGTAGCATATTAGTATTTCATATCTCATTCAGGAAGCCCACAGTATCATGGTTTGAGACTGTTGGGAGAACACAAAGTGCAAATATTGAAGGAGGCCTGTGGTGGGCTTCTTGTTTGTTTGTGTTTTGTTTTACAGGTACTGTGGAAGGTCGATGTGCACATTTGTGAGAGATAGAATCAGATTTGTCACAAAAGACAAGTCTAAGACCTGAGTGACTCCCTACAGAACTCTCAGATACTGTGGTAGCAGTTAGAGAACATGGCCACAGTGAGCCTGCCCACGAGAAGATTAAGAGCAGCATACCTTGCATGTAGGTATTTGCTGAGCACTGATGGAAGCATCTCCACTTATGATGCCCAGAGCGCTTAGATGCAGAAATATATTTAAGGCAGTAGGTTATAAAAGTTTATACCAAGGATAAGACCTAAGATTTGTCTCCTGTCACTGTTTACCATGCCTTTGGCTAATGCCACAGCAGATGCACTGATGGTTTCACATCAAGTAACTGATGCTGAATTAAGTTCTGCACTTCCTTTCTCTAACACAGCTGTACCCTCTGTGCTGCACCCAGATGGGTTAAGAACAGTACCTCTGTCTTGGGAAAGTTCCTTGGTGAAAATCGTGTGTTTTGCCTGAAGGATGATGGTCCATCAGTGGATTCTGGGGACCTGATTCTTTTAACCTCTAAATTAGCACTGGACACCAGCTGCAAACTGGAACCAGATTCCACAGATCATGCAACTAATCAGGCCTGATTTTCCAATGGCTCACAATTCATCCATATATGAGCTACCTCTAGGTAACTCCAAAACTAACAGCTGTCTAGTTTCTTTACAGGTTTAACAGCTCAGCCAGTGACTGTTGAGTTCTAAAGACATCAATCTAGATGAATTTTTTTCTGAGATAGATTCCTCTAGAGCTGCAAGTCAAGATGTGTTTCAACCACTGGAAAGGAAAAAAATATTAATAAGTGAAACAGACTGGGAGAAGATCCAGATTCAGGTTAGTTGGCTTCCCTGAACACCCCACCCCCCCTTTTTTTTTTTTTTTTTTTTTTTTTTTTTTTTTTTTTTTTTTTTTTTTTTTTTTTTTTTTTTTTTTTTTTTTTTTTTTTTTTTTTTTTTTAAGTAGTTTTGCATTATATATAACCTCTTCTATGCTCTTTGGAGGTGTGACAGTCTTTTCAGCTCAGTTGAGTGTTTTCTTTTTTCCTAAATTTTGGTCCATCTGTTCCAAATCAGAAATACTAAAATGTTTTACAGTTCAGAAGTTTCCCTCAGCAGTTTCTTCTATTCAGATGAAGAGCCCAGAAAGGCTTTAGATGAAACTGAGAATGGAAATGTAAATAGTTTCTCAAAATATATTAGTAATAAAAACTGAATATTTGAAAAAGCATATTTCCAATATATTTACCTCCCATGGTTTCACCTAGACAGGTTTGTTTTTATTCAGCCATTTTGGCAAGAGAAATCCAACTGTCCTATTTGTATCATGCCACTCAATCCTTCAGTTCATCCTGCCTGTGTCTGTCCTGGTAACTGCAAAGAGTTTTCACAACAAACTGTTCTGCTTTCTTGCTCACATTTGTTTCATCATACCTGTCTTCAAGCATTTGAAACGTTTTCCTTGTTAGAGAAATCTATTTGTCCTTTAATCCTCAGATGTTGGTAACTTACATCTCCTAATGAAGATCAAGACTGACAACACGTGTATGTCTAACTTTGGAGTGTTTTCAGAGCCAGATCTGCCAAGAACAAATTATTTTGAATGGACAATGGTACTTGCCTTGTATTTAGAGAAATAACAGTCAAGGAGCTGTCACTTCCCTTTTATACTCAAGTTTCTCCTTTCATCTTCCAGCATTTTTATTCTTCCTCCCTCTGTCACTCCCACCTTCCTCCACTTCCAGGCACTGTGTGTTCACCCAGCACTACCCCCTCTTGTCCCTCACCTGTAGTTTACACCCAAGGTGTTGCAGCACAAATTCCCACTCACAAGGGCTGCGACTGCTGCAGCTGGCAGTTGTAGCAAGGAACATTTTTAACATTTACCAACTCCAACCCTGACTGCTGCTACTGCTTGAATGACCAATTCCAGTTAAAAGAGGCCCTCAAAGATGCAGGAACATTTCAGAAGTGCAGAGAACCTATGGAACCAGGGAGTACTGACCACTTTCAAAAGAAGTACATGATTATGACTTCTGAGCTGTGCCTTGCTGAAACTTAGTCAGGTCACCTCAGATAATGTCAGGAAAAGTATTAGCACATAAAGGCAAAAAGTTAGAAGCTAAAACAGAATGGAATGGCAACATTTCAATGTACCAAGAAAATTAATTTTGCATTAAAAGGCAGTAACCAATTAGCTACACAAGGAACTGGGGCCACTTCTTCTACCAAAGAAAAAGGGAAATGGAACCTTTCAGGTGTGGAAAAAGCTGATGCAAGTAGAAAGACCTGTCTGACTATGGGTGTTTAAGAACCAACTTGAAAGTTAAAGAGTGGAAAGGGCCAATCACATCTGACATTGAGGAAACCCTGAACAATTAAACACTGGCACATGCTGCCTACAGATGGCTCAGAAAAAGTATCACAGTCCCTGCCAGGCAGGTTAAGTTCCAGGAATAACAGAGGTAGGTTTGATCCCCTGCAGCTGAACAGATCCAACGTTTCCAGCTCCTTTCCAGCCACGCAATTCCTGAACTTTTAGGAACAGCCTAAAATCTCCTATGAAATGCAAAGGAAAGTCTGAAGTTGTTTAAATAGTTTAGAAAAACTGGTGGTCAGGTTTTTAATACACAGAAATTACCCTTCTGTCAAACTATTAAGCTATTGAAAATTACTTAGACATAACATAATTGGGACACTCTTCTCTAAACAAAACCAACTTGCCTGAAGTAGAAGCTTCGAATGAATTGTGCATCTGTCTTAAACCACAGGGCTCTGAATGCAGAGGAATCTCCATCACATGCCACACCTCATGCAGTTTAAAAACTCAGCCATCTGAGAATCTCAAAAGTATGTTAAATTGAGGGAATGAAGGAAGAAGAGAGAAAATGCAACTATCCACCAGCTACTGGCAGGATCATTTAGAATGCCACTGATTATTTTTTTTCATTGCTTAAAAATAAAAATTAAAACTCTGCTCTGAGTCACACTTCAACTTTATTGAAAACACAGTAAAAAAAATTCCCTACAAAATATTCAGTGTAACATTTCAAACAAAGGATAAAACACACATTACCAATGCTTTTCACAAAAAAAAAGAAAAAAAAATGGACCTGGCTAAGGCAGCAAATATTTTCATTTACTTTTGTAACACAGCAAAGTATCCACACCTGAGAACATTACCAAACATAATTCAGGATAACCTAAATTAAGCCAGAAGTGTTTGGTGGGAGGGTGTGCAAAAGAAAATTGTTCTGATTAAAGTAACATTAAAGGCATTATTTTCTAGCTATATTTTATCTTGGTACAAGAGGTGTCCATGTGAAAGAAACATCAGTTGCTCAACATGGCCAAGTTTACAAAGCGTGAAGCACCAGTTGAAGCAAGAGGGAACAGGTGATTCCATCCAACATCTCTCTGGCTAACACACACTGTGTCATTTTACTCTTTTTATGTGAATTGGACTCTTACACTGCCAGGAAAAACCTGAAAGTATATGACAGAAGGTCCCTGCTGCCACAGAAATTGCCCTCCAGCAGCAGCCACAGAAACACTAGTGCAGAACTGTTGTTATGGTCACATCGCCCAAGCCCCCATGAAGCTGGTCCTATGTGAGAAGCTGCTGGCAACAGAGAATATTCTGTCACCTCAGTGGGAATTTCACAAACAAAGCCTCATGAAGACAAGAGCAACATGCATCTTCTGTTTAGGTAACACAGGGCCGAGTTCCTAACTCTACCAGAAAGTAAAGGAAATCCAGCCATATTTTTTGTATACCAAGTATGTGTTTCATACACTTTAAGATTTCAAACCCATGACTCAAATGTATTTTTATTTTCTATCCACGTGTTTTTAAAGCAATAGGAATCAGGCTAAACAGGACAAAAATACTTCAAAACCTACATTCAAAAACCAAAAAGTGGCTCAACTTTGTTTTGTTATATAAGGCCAGGGAGAAGACAGTTACTTACACAGATTTTGTGACTCTAAGGATTTTGGACAGGCTGGGAAAACTTATGGTTAGGTGGCAACCAAAAGACCTGGACCAGTTAATCTTCTCCATAAGCTGTGAACAGATCCATCATGTTCACAATACAGGCACTGTCATCATGCTGGTTTAATGATCATTTTCCATGAAGAGGGTCCAAAACGTGCTCACACATGGAATACAAAAGGTGCAGAAAGCACATGATGAGTCTTACCCGGCACAGTGCAAAGTTTAACTGATGGAAACGTGAGAGAGTTACACAACACACCAGAAGGATGCATCTCTGGATCTCCAATCAGGGAAGGCAGCAAGGCACATGGAGAGCAGTGGTCTTACTCTACAAATTACAAATTACTGCCCTAAAGAGCAGTTCCACTGTGTGTCAGCTACTCCAGACTCCCTGCTTTGGGCACGGGCCTGAATGGGCTGCACCAGCACATTACTCTGCTGAGAAGGGGGCTCTTTGCTGAACATTAAAAGCACAGACACACACCCCATTACTGAAGCATTTCCCTCTCTTAATTAAAACTTACATGAGCTCTTGGAAATTTAGTTAGAGGACCCGCTCTAGTGACAGGATTGTTTTAATGGCATTTATTGTTAAAAAAGAGAACAAGTGCAAATGAATGAATAAATACTAATATTTTCATAATGGAAGAG